TATTTGCAGCTTGGCCATTGTCCATGTAAATTCTTGAACTCTTCTTACCGCTTTTACCGGATCATGAATATTGCTTTGAAAACTTAAACTCAAACGCCTAAGGGGAGATAAAATATCAAGATATATTAACAGATAAATAGGAACAGACGCATTTTTCCACCGCTTTAAAAATCCTTTTAACTCTGCTCTTTTTGATACTTGGGAGTCTGTTGTAGCCAATTATTCAATATGTGTCATAAACACACCATAATTTTCTAAAGCAATTTTTATTGCTTTGTACTTGTGATCGAACCAATCGAGTTCCGCAAGCCTTTGTTGGTTTTGGAACGCTATTACTCCATGCTTCGACTAATCCTTGTAGTTCACGGCAACGCTTTGGTGACTTTTGATACAAATAATAGAGTTGCAATAATAGTTAAACTTAAAATGCATCTTTTAAAGTTAAACTTTCAAATGCATCTTTTAAAGCTAGTTCAAGTTGATGGTTAAAACAGTGTACGATTTCAAGACAAAGCGAACCTTCCTTTAGTAATGCCCCTAAACCAGTATAAATTCCCAAATTAACGTTTGCTCCATCAAGATTTACACCTAATAGACGTTTATAAACATTGGTAATGCCAACTCTTGCAAAAGCATCCGTAATACATTCTTTCAATCCAACTGCATCAGAATTCTCTACTGTTTTAAGAGATAAAAATTGACGCCGAACCTAATGTTGTTTGTCTATGAATTCGAATAACCTCTTTATGTTGTGCACTGCTTAAATGCGATGTCAGGGAGTATTTTTTCATTGATGTTGTGCCTAGTTTGATCTAGGTCATAGAAAACAACTTTGTTTGATTTATACGCTTTTTGAATTTTTTACATAGACTGCATCGTAATCTAATTACATCGAGCCCATTTAAATCATACTGTAACTCACAATTAAAATGTCTCTCCTACTTCTTTACTGTGGATAGTTTACTCCTGAAATCTTTATTTGAATCCATTTTTTAATCAAATTTAAAATGAGTAAATATATTAATAAAATGTTTTTTAAACATTTAAAAGCTGTTTGACTTGTATTGATACTATTTTTCATTTGAGCAACATAAAAAAAAAAGCCATAAAAAATGTTTATAATGAATGAGCAACATTCAAATAAAGCCCTTGAGAATTTGAGTTAAGAAATTTACTTTCCAATCAATTAATTTCATTACTTTCATTCAATCAAGTTCATTAGTTTCGTTCAATCAAGTTCATTACTTTCCTTTATCGTTGGAATAAAGCCCTTGAGATTTTAGGTTAAGAAATTAACTTGTCATTCTTTTTTCTCGTACATTTATTATAAATTTGTTAAGATTCAAAAATCTTTTTTAATTCCTTTTTTTTAACGACTTTTTAAATTAACTTTTAAAGTATATTTATATTAGCTTTTCTGAATTTGAACATTTTTGCAAAATGATTTTGATAATTTTATAAAATCTTTTATTTTTTTTCTGTTTCTATTTTTTCTTTTCCAGATAATCAGTTATTACAGACATCGCTAGAGTTTTCATTAAATTAAGTTTACAATAATTTTATAAGTTAAAAATTTTTAAAATTGGAAGACTAAAAATCTTATTTTGAATTGTTTCAAATTCATCACAAATTTTTCAAAATTTAAAAAAGACTGCTCAAATTTATTTTGTTTAAAAAAACATTTTACAATTAACGAAAGTTGCAAGAGAACAACAAATGAACCGCGCAAGAGAACAACAAAAGAAAGCAAAAATATCTTTTTTTTTTAATTAAAAACTAATCGCGAAGGCGAGAAAAGCAATCGCGATACGCTTAATTCGAGCCCTGTTAATATTAATTTTATTACAAACATTTTTCTGGATTTTGTGAAAAACTATACAAATAAATATGATTTGCTGATTGTCGGTGATAAAAATAATTCAATATCTTTAAAAATATATAATCTACAATGATGTCATACATTGAAATTCTTATGAACTCATAAAATTCTTATGAATTTAACAGACTAAAAATAAACTATTAAGCCCACAAGTTGCGATGTATGTTATAATGACTGTTATAATGTATCTACAGAGTAAAATGGAGAAAGCAAAAATCAACTGAAACGACAAGTTTAGTTCTTATTGATATACATTATATTTAATTTAATTTAATTAAAAAATTTAGCTCAAACATTTTTTTTCTTTTAACTTTTTTAAATATGAAAATAACATGTGTTGGTATTGGTAATTGGTACACATATTTATAAAAAAAGTTGTGATCAAATAAGCATTAAATAACAAATTACAGGTTGAGATAATTATATGCTATAATTTTAACTATATGCTATAATTTTAGCTGTTAAGTTTAAAAAGCAAACAAATTTCATATTAAAAAAAAAAAGTTTAATCGTTACAAATTTGTAGGTTGGGACAGGTTTCCATAAAACCATTTTTTTAAAATTCAAATATGGCATTACGGAAAAGTTGAATGTAAAAATGTATGCTCTAAAACTCATACTGTCATATCAAACAAAAATAATTATTTTCATGGATAAAAAGGTTTTGTGATACAAAAAACACTTTAACATTTAATTTTAAAACTTCTTTTTCAAGGGATAACAGCTCTAATTAGTTCAGCTAGATTAATTAATTTACTTAAAAATACAATATTTAAATAATTGCTTCAAAAAAACAATTGCTCCACTTTTTAATAAAAATTAGTACATCTTAAGGTAGTTGCACATGATATGCAAGATTATAAATTCGACATCTTTCAAGTGTTTTAAATGTTAAAAAGTTTTTGAAAGTAAAATTGTAACACAGTAAAGGTAAACACAATAAAGACAAACTTTAGCCTTGGAGTTTTTTATAGAGATTTTACATTCATACCCAAGGCTCAAATGGAGTGATTGTGAATTGCAATATCCAGAAATATTTCTGGTGCAATAAATTCTTAGTTTATTAAGAAACATGAACGTTTTAATGAAGCAGTTAATTTATCATATTGCAAAAATTATTAAAAAAACAAAATTAATAACAGTCAAAACTTAAATATTTTTAATTATTATTTTTTAAACACCAGGTAATTTAAGGATTATAAATAAAAAATAAAGTTGTAGGACAAAAAATATTATTACTAAAAATGGTAATTTAAGAATCAACCAATAAAAAATTATGCTAAAGCATTTTGCCCATTGTATGAAACATTAACATCGATTTTAGTTTAATGAATTATTTATTTAAAAATTTTAATATTTTAAATTAGAAATTTATAAATTGATAATAAAAATAATAATAATAAAGATATATTTTTCTTTTATTTGAAATACTTAATCACCGCTAAATTTCTTTAGACTGTTGTGATTAGCGGTTGTTTATTAATAATTATGTCATAATTTATAAAAGGAATTAAAATATTAAAGTTTGCATCATAATCTTTAATAATAATAAAAATAATATGGGTTTACAATGAGATTTTATATCATAGTTCAAGATCAACATGAATATTTTTTATTGAAAAACAGCTATTGAGTTTAGTGATCAAAACATATTAAAATATTAAAGTTTACATCATAATCTTCAATAACAATAAAAATAATAGTAGTAATATGGTTTTTAAATTTACGGTTTTTAAAAAGTTTAAAACTTAAAGACCAGAAGCATTTACAGATATCACAATTCGTGATCCCTTAATTTGAGCCCTGATCTCTTATATTGCTCCCCAGTTTGGTTGCCACACTAAACTATGTTAGTAAAGTCTATTGAAAAAATTCAAAAACAATTCACAAAAAAAAAATGCTAATTTTAGTTGTTTGAGCTATTACAGCCATATAATGATGTATAAAACATGATTTAGTTATATGTTTCAAAATTATGCATGTTTGTATAGATAGAAGTTCATTTTTTGAAGCTTACAATAATAAATATACCCACAGTCATACTTATAAGATTTGCAAGCAATGATGTTACTTCAATATTCGAAAAAATTATTTTTCTCAACAAGTTGTTAATATCTTAAACAAACTGACATCAGAAGCTGTAAATGCAGGAAATATATGTATGTTTAAAAATAAAATATATTTTTCTAATTTCGAATAACACTGCTTCTATGAAGTAAATGAATGAATAATAACTTGAACATGTATTTCATTAACTACATTATTTTTATACTTATCTAGGGACATACTGCCAGAGTCCATTTTTTGGACCTGTCCTTAAGAACATGTAATTTTTCTTGTTCTAATAAATTATTATCTATCTTCATTCAATCTCAAATATAACTTTATAGGGGAACATTTTATATAAAAACATACTATAAGTTTTTTATAATTTAATAAATAATAAGTCCACAAACCTACATTTTTGCAATTATGACACTATCATTATAGTTAAAAACTATGTTATTTCAGTCACGCTTTGTCTTGTATTAGTTTAATATGTGTCAGTGGCAATAGTTTAATTTTTAACTAAATTCTGAAGTTTTCAAGAATGCTCGAAAAATTCTAATAATAACTGGGTATCAGTCAAAAAAAGTAAAAAAACAGTATGAACTATTATGAAAAAAAATTATAAAAAGTGAAAACTAAAAAGAAAGAGCAAATTTTCCATCCAGCTAACAAATATGTTTAGTATGAATATATATATATATATATATATATATATATATATATATATATATATATATAATATATATATATATATATATATATATATATATTACTTTTAAAAATCAAATAGTAACAAACTAAACATAAGGAATAAAACATTGCCTAAAAACATATTAATACTCATACTACAAAAACAATATTTATTGGAATTTTTTTATTTTTTTTGAACTCTCCATTTTTACAAACAAAAATTCAATATCTGAATTTGTTACATTATTTTTACAAGTTCTAAGAAAACCCAATTTGGTAATGAATTTAGCAAAAGCTTATGATAAGGTGCAAAGTAATAAATAACAATAATAATAAAAAAAATTAAAAGTAAAATTTAAATACTTAAATTCCTAAAAAATACCTTAACAGCAAAACTACAACCACCTTGCTGCTTAATTGTAACAGAATCATGTTCCCATGATTGCTGAGATCCTGATTTAGAATCACCTTTCTTATTCTTTCGTTTTCGAAAACTTAAAGTACGTCTAATAGCACGAAAAGAACTTCTAAGCATCCTTCAAATGGAAGTTTTACTGATTTTGTAATTAACTGGGTAATTAAAACTAAAAAAGGTTTTCGATCACACTAGTATAAAATCACCTCTACGCCAAGCGTCCATTTTTATTACCAACCTGCGATCCCTAATATTTTACGGTAGCTGTTTGATAAGTTTTAATAAAGAACCAATCAGAATTGATAAAATCTGTTATTCTGCTACTTCAAATCTACGCAAAGTAAATAAAGTTTAAAATCATTAGGATTTATAAAACATCTTTTTGAAATAAAATTTTGTGTTTTTATTTATTTTGCGTAGACCTACTTGTAATTAAAATCAATGTACTATTGTAGATTGTATTGTAATAATTAAGTGACGAAAAACCACTAATTCATTTTTATGTTATTGTTTTCTTGAATATCGTAAACAAATGCAAACGTTTTCATTTAAAAAGTCGGAAAAGGTCATTATTTTAACTTGACCTAAAAACCTTTAATTCTTTATTATTTTTAAAAAGTTTAGTGAATATTTATACATCTTATAGGTTTGTAATCATTAAAATATATAGAATATCAGATCGCAGGAAAAATCGTAGCTTTTTTTAATAGGATTTATTTTTGCAAATTTGTCTTGTATTTTTAAGAATTTTTCTTACTTTGAGACGTTGAAACGAAAATTTGTCTTTATTGAGTTTATTGAGAAAACTTTAACTAATGTTGCATAAAAAATGAAAAATAATAAAAAGAAAGTGAAAATGATATTGATTTTGATATTGATTATTGATTTTGGTATTGATTAAAAATGTAATTTATCTTATCCTGTTAATGCGGGTTAAACAAAGAAAGAAATCGCGATAATTCAGTTACTTTAAAAAATATTTCTATTTAAGGATGTGAATACTTATACCCTTAGTGGGTTTGTAATCACTAAAATATACATAGCGAATTGCAGTTAACTCAAAGTTTTGATGAATACCAATTGATAGAAAAATAAGATGAAATAAAACTACCAAGGAGTACTTACTGAGGCCCTTTGTTTTATTTTGTAATTTTGAATTAAAATGTAATTGCTCAAGTTTTGTAGCTTAGATATAGTTACAGTAAAAAACTTAAAATAGGTAATGTTGTTGTGTTAAAATAATACTAAATATATTATTTCCTTTTGCTATTTTAATTAAACCCAAGTTCGTTAATCTTGACTCAAAACTTTGACTCATTTTTGTTAATTAATCAATTTTAGGGGCGGATCCCTGATCAGCATTTTTTGATGCTTGAGATAGCTATCCAGACATCAAGCAAACTCCAAACAATTATATTTTTATACTTACATAAAAAAAAGTAACCAATCATAACAATTAAAAAAATATCCCACTATAAAAATTAAAATTTAACCATTTAATAAAAAATAAAGTTTATTCTTGGAACAATTTTATTTCACTTTTAAGGGTTCTGGAGACAAGGCTGGTGCGGCCGGCACCGCGGTGTCATCATGACACTGTCATGAAATAAATTATCTCCCATTATATATTAACTCCCGAAGCGTAAACTGGGGAGTTAATCTATTTCGAAATAGATTAACTCCCTAAAAATAAATTAACCTCTGTCGGCCAAACAAATTAACAACACACAATATTTTAACTCCCTTGAAGTAACAACATACGAATTACGAAAAAAGTATTTCAACTTGATGTTTTCCAAATGTTTTTGTTTTTAAATCTGTTAACTAGTTATTGATATGGATGTAATAACAGTAGCACTATATCAAAGCATTTTTATCCTAAGTATAATAATACAATATATCTTAAGCATTTTTAAATATTTATACATTCGATATATATGTATATGTGTATACATATATATCGAATATTACTATCTATCTACTATCTATAATATCTACTAATTTATTGCTCTGTTCTTTTTTGAACATTGATCACTCTATTCTATAGAATACATTTATAATTATTGTTATATATATATATATATATATATATATATATATATATATATATATATATATATATATATATATATATATATATATATATATATATATATATATATATATATATATATGAGTTTCAGAGAATTATCTCCACTTCTAACAGCAAGAAGTATATTATTAAGACTAAAGAAAAGATATACACTCTGTTAGTCCAGATTATTATGATGCATAGCAGTGAAACATGCAATGAAGGTGATGTCCATCCAATGATGTCCACCATTTGAAAAGAACAGAAAAGAATAACAATGGGATAGATGTGCAGTGCAACTCTAAAAATAAGAAAAGAAGTAGTGATTTTATATAGCGATTAAGAATAGTGAGTGTATCTGATAGGATGCGTCAGGGAAGATTAAGGTGGTTTAAAGGTGCAGATGATCATGTATTAGCATGGAGTTTTAAGAGTTTCAGGAGAAAAAGTTAGAAATAGAAGCTGGAAACTTGGAGATGGTGTGTTACAAGTGACATGAAAATCTACAGTTAAGCAAAGAAAATGCTCATGATCTTATACATTAGAGAAACAGCATTATCAGCGTTATGATATTTCTATGTGAAACTGCTTTATAATATTATATGTATGCATGTATATATAAATGTTCTTAAAGAACAGAGCAGTAATAAATTAGTAAAAATACTTATCTAATTTTGACAAAGAGAATTAGATAAGTGTTTTTACTAGTTTATATATTTCTATATGTGAAACTGCAATATAATATATGTATATATATATATATATATATATATATATATATATATATATATATATATATATATATATATATATATATATATATATATATATATATATATATATATATATATATATATGTATATATATATATATATATATATATATATAAATTAAAAAAAAATTATATATACATATATGTATGTATGTATATATATATATATATATATATATATATATATATATATATATATATATATAAACTAGTAAAAACACTTATCTAATTTTCTTTGACAGTCAAAATTAGACAAGTGTTTTTACTAATTTATTACTGCCCCGTTTTTTAAGAACATCAAGCACTCCTTGTACAATTAGTGCAAGGAGTAGTACATATATATATATATATATATATATATATATATATATATATATATATATATATATATATATATATATATATATATATATATATATATATATATATATATATATTTACATAGAGAAAAAACAACTTTTCATAGGACTATAAGTTTCATGCCTATACAGCAATCATCAGCCATGTTCGAAAGAATATCAAAGGATATAAAATCTCTTTGCATATTGCCTAAGATACTAATTCAAGCCAACAAATCTAGTATGTACAGAGTAACTAAAGATAAATACAACCACCTTTTTAATGAATGCCATAACATCCACATATAAAAAAGCTGACCATAATCTAAACAATAAAATAAATAAGGAAAGTAAACCAACCACGATGTGTTCAACAAAATTGAGTTAAATGGTACTTCAAATGCTTCATTATTCTCAAAGACCATAAAGTAAACTTTTTTTAATAACCCCACCGTCCGCCTGTTAAACCCAGCAAAAAAAGAAGTAGGGTGAGTTTTCAAAATTGTAATCTCAAAAATCAATGCTGCATTGAGAAGAAAGCTCTGCTTAAACCAATGGCAAAGCTTGTAAGAGGTTTTACATTGGTTTTAAGGTATTAATGAAAAACACCTCTACACATTTTAAATTTTTGATATAATTGACTTTTACCCATCGATTAATGTAAAATTACTTAGTGACGCAATAGAGTTTGCTGGTCAGCATCTAGTTAAAAATCAAAAAGATAGGAAATTTATTATACACGCGAGGAAATCTTTAATCTTTATCAATGGCGATTTTTTGAATTAAAAAAACACAGATAATTATTTGATGTAACTATGGGTGCTTATGATTGTGCAGAAGTATGCGAATTGGTGGGAATTTAAATGTTGCATGAACTATCTCAATATTAAAACAGGAAGGAATTAGGTTTATATCGGGACCACGGTCTAGTTATTTTTAAAAATCGTATTGGCCAACAAATGGAAAAAATAAAGAAGCATTTTGTAAATATTTTTAAAAGCAATGGTCTCCATTTATCTATCAGCTGTAATGTTAAAATTGTTAATTACCTAGATTTAACACTAAATCTTAGCAACAGTTCCTTCCAACCTTACTCAAAGCCCAATAACATTCTTAATTATAGACGCGCTGACTCTAACCACCCTCCGTGCATATTAAAAAGTCTACCCCGAACAATTGATCTAAGAATGTCTACTGCATCTTCAAACAAAGAAATTTTTAAAAAAGCTGTTTCTTCTTATCAGGATGCATTGTTAAAATTGGGTTACTCATCCAAGCATAAATATCAGTCAGATATAGTACCCATTCAAAACTAAAATCACAAAAAACGGAACATTATTTGGTATAATCCTCCATATGGTAAAAATGTTGCAACAGAGATAGGTAATCTTTTATAAAAATTAATTGATGCAAGCTTTCCTGTTGGTCATTCATTACGCAAGATTTTAACAGAAACACCATTAAAATTAGCTACTCGTGTATGCTAAACGTTAAGTCAGTCATTAATTTGCATAATCAAAATATTTTATACAATCATTAAAAAACAGCAACAAAAACCTGCAACTGCATCAATAAAATCTGCCTGCATTATGAACAACCAGTGTTTAAGTAAGAACATTGCGTATCAAGCTACTGTTTCATCCAATAAACCAGATTACACAGAAAAAGTTTATATTGATATTAGTGAGACCTCTTTCAAGTTAAGGTATGCAAACCATTTAAAATCTTTTAATTTAATTAAGTACAGCGATGATAAGGAATTATCTAAAGAAATTTGGAAACTTAAAGAAGAAAACCTTTCGTTTGTTACTAACTGAAAAATTATCAAGCGCTGCCAAACATATAATCCTTCATCAAAAATTTGCAACCTTTGTCTTAATGAGAAGTTTTATAATTTAACGCATTCAGGGGGAAATCTGTTTAACAAAAGGAACGTGTTGATTTCAAATTGTAGGCATAAAAATAAATTTCTCCTTTCATTTTATGACACTGGCGATTAGCTGATTTATATACAATTTTCTTTTGTTTTGTCTCGATGGAGACGTCAGATGTCGCTCCACTGTATTTTGTAAT